AGAGAAAAGACTGAGAGAGACCCGTCTGAGAGAGAGAAGAGATTGATTTTGAGGAATTTGCAGGTAGCCGTGGGGATGCTTTTAGTGGGCAGGGGTTGGGTTGGATGGGATGTTTTTAGTGGGCTGGTAGCCTTGTATAAAAGTGATTATTATTTTCTTTTTTTTTTACTCTGGGCTTCAACCCACCAATACCTCCATCCTTAGCGCTCCTGTCGCCTAGCTCGGTAGAGTCCAGTCCTTTCACGATATTGACTAGTTCAACTCAACTAAAGCCTTGACTCAAATAAGTAGACCACTTCCACCGCTCATAGTGTAATTACCTTCATTTGAATAAGAGGATAAGGATCCCCCAACGGAATGATTAATTGGCCTATAAAAGGGTCAGCAATCACAAATCTAGCTCAATATCCTACATCCTCAATTCCTTATATGACTTAAGCATCGGTTGACCCCCGAAGCCCTTATGTCTTCAGAAGGCAATTTCATCCAAGGAGCTGTGAGAAACGCTATCTATGAGAAACGCTAAGTTTTTCATCCTCAAAATATTTGAAACGACAAAGTTTTCCATCCTTCAGCTATTTGGAACCGCAAAGTTTTCCATCCTTCAGCTATTTGCAACCGAAAAGTTTCCATCCTTAAGTTAGTTGGAACCAATGGCCATCACAAGCTAGAGACCAAACTCATGAGAATGAACGGCCAAGGTCACACCCAGTTGACTGGTGGAAACCAGCCCCGCCGAAAAAGGGAGCAGCGAGAGTAAAGAAGTTGAATAAAACTATGGGGGAGTAAGTTTACCAAAATCGACAAATCCTTAAACTTCTCACCGCCCAATAGCTCCCAGACAAGAATTTGTCTCAGATCCAGGGGCATTGCAATGAGAACCAATAGAATGAAGGACAAAGCAAAAATGAGGTCATCCGTCCACAAGTCAATGACTGATGAAAACAAAAGTTTTAGGAGGCCAATGACAAGATTAACAGTGTCATTAACACCTTAAAAGCTCGAGTTCCAGTGGTGGTGGAGGCTTTACTGCAACACACGGAGTCTCCTTTTACTACTGATGTTTCAGACAAACATCCCCCATCAAGATTCAAGATGTCGGCCATCGAAAGTTTTGATGGACTAAAAGATTTGCCCAACCACCTAGAGAATTCTATAATAATGCTCCACAGTGTCTCGGATCAAATTATGTGTAGGGTCTTTGCAACAACCCTTAAGGCGACACTTGTTTAACTAGCTGAAACCCAATTCAATTATCTCTTTCGTAGAGCTCAGTACCTCGTTCACCTCCCACTTCATTGGATAAAAAACACACAGAAGGCCCCCCACTTATCTCCTAAACATAAAGTAGAGGTGAAATAAGAGCACTCGTTGCTTTTATTGGAGGATTTTTGCCCTCTCAGTTCTTCTTATCCCTGTCAAAACATCCACCACAAAGTATGCGTGAGTTGCTCTTAAGAGCACAGATTCATATGAATGTAGAAGACGCCCTTCTTGCTTGTAGGAGCCAGGAGGACAAACAGGAGGAGAGGAAAAGACACAACCAACCAAGCAAAAATGAAAGAGCTAGTAGTCCAAAGAAGAACCAGACTGAACGAATGAGTGCTATCAAACAGAATCAAGAATTTGGTATTACCCTCTAATCTCATTCAAATCCTTCTCATCAAGAGAGTTCTTGACTTGTTTTGCCCCCACAACTTTGATTGATGATGAGGCGATCTTCAGAATAGAATCAGAATCATTATTGGCCTTGTCGGCCTCGGATACAAGAAAATGAATTCTCTCAGACAGAGTTCACTCCGAATCACGGGCCATGGCAGTAAAGCCAGTGGCAGAGCCCAGCTTTGGCGTATAATTTTGAAATTTTAGGGGGAGGGGGGCAATGGCCCCCACAACTTTCAAAATTATACTATATTCTTATTTTTCACTTTACATGGCACCTCACGTCATCAAAGTTATATTTTAAATCCTTAAATTATGATCTTGATTTTGCTTTACCCCTTAACTATTGATTTATACACATTGCACCCTAAACAAAATAGTCTTGTGAACTATCTTAGTCCAAAATGTAACAATTAGAGCAGAATCAAAATTTAAAAATTCATGAAAAAAGTTAGTTATTTGAATGATAAATGGTGGAATGATGTCAATTTAATAATCGAAGAAAAAAAAAAAGAAATCAAAGTAATAATTTAAGAGGACAAAATATAATATCTCCAAACCTTATGTGCAGGATCCAATGTTATATAGAATATATATTTCAAAGATAAGCACACACTCTTATCTAATTTTGTTCAAATTTTCACACGTTGAGCCGACATAATAAAATTTAGTTGTACTAATTGATTATCGGATGAAATCAAACTAAATTTTTTTATTTTTTATGAATGAATCTAAAATAGTCTTGCATGTAATTGATTTGACAAATTTCAATTAATGTTTTGATTTTTTGAAAATTAATCATACTATAATTCATCGTGTGAAAGTTATTTTCATAGTTTCTATACAACCAAAAATTGGACGCTAACTATAGCTTATTGAATGGTTCTATTGAATAAAAATTTTTGACTACGACACTATTCAGCCCCCCTCTGAATAAAATTCTGAATTTGCCCCTTTGTAAAGCAATGGTGGTTGATGTATAGATTTGGAGGGGAAAGGCAACTAGTACTATTAGGGACGACAGTGGACCAGAGAAAAACGGGTATTCGTTTAAATCTGTTTGATCGGAATAAACTGTATGTATTGAACAGTAGACGTATACAGAGATATCCGTATAAACTCGTATGAAGATGAAGGCGGAGATGGACTTACCCTTACTCCCGCCCCGTCCCTGCATTCCCTCTCCCCTGCTACCCATTAAATATATATATAAATAAAAATACTTCAAAATTTTAATTAAACAAATTTTTTGTAATTACTAATTTAAAAATATGGTAATCAAAATAAGAAGGGGCGTTACTGTACGATAATCTTATCAACAGCTCGCTCAATGCGCGTTAGATGCCCTTCTATCGCGCTTCTAGAGCATTTTAGAGTTTCTCGCGGCAGGATTGAGTTTATAAATAGAATTGAGGCTTTCGACATGGGATCAAATCGGGCGTCTCTTCTGTGGCGAAGGAGAAGTGGTTCTTCATTTCAACCGAAAAGACCGATGAGCTTTGCAGATGCAACCATAGACAGTTCTTGAATTAAGGTAATTTTTTATGAAACAATGAAATATTTTGTTGACAAAAAGAAAATGACATATATTCTATCTATAGACAAGCAAGAATCGAAGACAGATTCAAGCCGGACTCTAGACGACCTATCAACCAAAACCCTAAGTGATCAAGATAACGGCCCTTCCATTGAAGAAAACAAAAAACGATAGAAGTGAAATTGAAAGGTATGAGTACACCCTATATGCTCCAGCTTGGATAGTTCAAGTGAAACAGAAAGAGGAAAGAAGATCCATATGAGGAAGAAAAGGCATACTTGGGTTCTTGGTGGTTTCTGAAGCATGTTGGACACAAGAGATGAGAATTGTTTAAATACCAACCGGTTCTATAGCGATTACATCAGCACGAGTCACAATCTCGCTTCCCAAGGCACTAACGGACAAATGCATTAAATGCAGACCACGTGCAAGCCACGCTGAGTTAAACGGGGGCAATTGATGATGGGAGTTCGAGCACATGCTTGGACTGTAAGGAGCTCCCCCAACGGCATGATTAATTGGTCTATAAAAGGGGAAGAATGGAAATTAGCCAAGGTAAGCAATCACAACACTAGCTCAATATTCTTCATCCTCAATTCCTTAAATGGCGTAATACATCGGTCTTCAACTTGTTCTTGCAGGTACTCCCCTTGGTCGTTCAGAAAGCGATTTCATCGAAGGAGCTCGAAGAGCAATTTCTGGTATCAACACTTACGATTAACCAAAAAGACTCAAAATATATTTCAATTCTCACACATTTTGCTGGTAATAATTTAGAAACAATCGCTAGCACATCCGACAGATAATTTGTCCATACTGCTAAGTCTAAGAATATAGCATCATCGAAATAGCTAATCATTGAATCCAATTAACTTGTTTGTCATACTGCTAGTCCTTGTGGTATTTTACATTGGAGATTATAAAAGAATTTTCAAATTCCATTATGTTGCCATTACCTGGAACTAAGGAAAAGAATAGGCATGCAGTTACTCTTAAACTTGACAAGCCCATTGCATTTATTTCATCTTCTCTACCTTAGTTATCAAATTAGGCTTTTTGGTTCTTCTTGGTTTTACCATGACATCTTTGTAAAGAATCCAACAAACATAAACTATCCATATTATCGTTCAAACTTAAAAAGAAAAAAGAAAAAAGAAAAAAAAACTGGATTCATCGCTATCACAATTAGTATAGTTAAGTCTCTCATTTCTTTGGACTGTGCAAGGAAGTTGCAATTCAGTTGTTTGCATCTAGAATCTTACAAAAAATTGAAAACTAAAATTATATACTTCCATAGGTGCTCCTGCAGTGGGAATGCCTATTTCTTCAACAGGGCACATAGGTATTAGATTGACTGTGGAGTCAGGATCCACCAGAAGTACTTATGGCAATGAAACAAAATAGTCCTTCGTCATCACATCACAGACCAATTGGAAGAAGAATAATTTGCCTGGATATCTTATGTTGAGACCTTTACCAAAAGAAACAAATAAGAATGTAGTGTGAGTTTTACAATAATAAGCAAGCAAATGGCAGCCCATGATTCTAGTATAAATGCTCATCTCAAACCTATCTGCTTGAAACCATGTTTGTTTTTTATAATTAGTGCAGTCAACAAGATGATAGTGTTTTATTTAAGTATTATTGCAATTGACACCAAAGTTATGTTTTCTTCGAGATTAATTGTCGATGTCATTGGTAGTTGACACAACTTGAGTATGGCTGTACAAACAATGAGGTGGTTCAATTCAAGTCATGGCGACCAATTTAACACCAAAATTTTCAACTGAGTTGTGCGCCTATAGGGAAGATAGTAAATTATTGCAGGCATATGAAATACATACAGGAGTGAAGCGATGGTCAACAAATAGTAAATTCTGTCTTAACCAAATTTGAGATTGTAGATTGAAATATCACAAGTTCAACAAGAACAAAGTAACATGAACCTAAATGTGTTTTGTACTTAAAGGTATATCATCTAATGTTCCAGATCCTCCTTGCAACAACTTTGGTAGCGCAGAACTAGCCACCTTACTCATAAAGCTTTTACAATCAAAACCCCTCCATCTTCTTTGCAACAACTTCAGGAGACACATTCTTCCCATCCTGCAATTTCTTTACCCATAAATATTCACATATTAGATTGAAGACATACATCCCCCATAACCTAGACAAAGCAAGAACAAAAAATGTCAATCATATCATACAAGTGTGCAACCAAAATGTTCTCTATCATTGCCTTAAGCATGAGAGAAGCCAAAACAGTATTCAAAAAACTGAAATATGAACATGATAAAGAATCTGATGGACATACATGCCAACTAGTATGTACTTGTGTATGTGCGCTATCTAGTTCATTTCATGCATGCATATTCATGTGAGTGCAGCAAAATCGTTCTTGTTTCAACATGCTGTCCTTATTTTATTACATCTGCAAAAGGGTATGGAAGCCAAGAGGTGGCTTTGTGAAGCAAGAAATAGCCTTTGTTATGCTGAAGTAATTGTGGATTACCTCTATACCCATCTCTTTGGTAGGGCAGCATCCTTAGATCGGGCAGGAGCTCGTCTCTTACTTCTAGAATTTCCACTGGTAGATAGTGACTGCTTTGGTCTCAAAATGTTGACCAAATCAGGTGTCTGATTCATTGATCTCTCTTTGAGAGGACTTACTGGTCGGGACTTTTGATGCTGATCATTTGGTTTCACTGACGAAGTACAGCTTTTGGCCTGTCCCAATTTCTGGTCTTCCCTTGAAGCAAAGTTATTATTTTGAACAGTGGCGTCCTGACTTCTCATAATAGGAGTTTGAGGACAATTACCAGGGGAGCAATCTGAATCAGAAGATGAAGGACTAGTTGTACTATCCATATCATAAAGGACATTATCTGCCATCATTGGAAGACGCCTCTCATTCGAGCTTGCGGTAGAGAAAGAAGGTCTTCGAAGTCTTGTTAGATTCACCACCTGGAATCAGTTGTATACTCATAATTGTCATACTTTTTATGTTCAGTATGTGAGGCACAATATTAGGCTCTACCATACACAAGAATAACACAAACCATAAAGTGTACCAAATATGTTGCTTGATTGCTACAAGCCTACAATTGTTGAAGAATGATAACGTATGCATATTCTCTGTAACATGCATTGCTTTACAACACAGTTGAAAAACATTTTCATACATATTTTTCTTTTATCTGCCATTCTTGCAGTTCCTGGTTTGATTTAAATCTTAATGTCTAAGATGGTTCAACGCAATTGGTTTAAGAAATTCTATCAAGTTTGTTTCACTTCTTTACGATTCCAAAAAGTTTTAAATGCAAAAAACATGGGAGGTAGATGGGCTTTACAACTGCGGCAAAATCTTCTTGATTTCCATTTCTGTAATTCAAGAATGTCAAGTTTCTCAATGGAAGCAGAGGAAGAAAAGCTGTCGGTGCTGGAATATTTGAAGTCAGAAATGAAGATTGCACAGGCTTCTATTTTTTAAAATTTGCATCATCTTTTGTCTCAATAGTATATGGTGGTTGAACTTCATTGAACATATACCATCAGGATTTGATGGCATTCTTACCTTCTGTTCAAGAACCAACATGTCTTTCCTCAGTTTTGTAATGATCATATTCTTCCTTCGGATGATGTCTTCTAACTCCACAATCCTCTGTTAGACGCAAAAAGAAGACCAAACTGACTGAGACAATGCTTTTGTATTGGAGACTCTAACTGCTATAAAAAAAATTAATACCTTTGAATCTACAACTTGAGATGAGTGAACAAAAATGGACAGCTCCTTTATGGTGGCTTCCTTTTCTTCACATTCTTTGCGGAGGTTGTAGATATCTTGTTCAATTGCTAATGTATTCAACTGCGAGAAAAACACAATGTGAGATTACTTGTGTCAGGTTGTAGATATCTTGTTCAATTACTCTAGCTTACTCTAGCTTACTGATTAATTCACGAAATCGAGGTTTTTGTAATTGAGAAAGCTTATTAATTTGAAAAAAGGAAAGGCAAAAACCATCTTCACTCTGAACATTTCAACATTTTTCTGCTCTAATCGACGAAACTATCCACATCAGCACAAGAGCATACAATAACATTGTCCCAAATTTTGGTTTAAAAAACATTGTTTGATCCCGAACATCCTCAAAAGACTAAATCCATATGAGTTCCTCCTTTTCACATGACCAGGTTGATAGTTACAGAGATAAAATAACGTTGGAAGTATGTAAAAATGAAAATGAAAAAAAATTAAATGAGCCAAGTATTGGCTCCATGCAAGAAAAAAATCATTCATTATAATATCAGAATACTAAAGGTCTGACCAAAGGTGTTGTAGCACTAGCCCAGCACTAAGAGTGCTGACATTCATTTACGAGATATGTGGGTTAACTGAGAAAGAAGAAAGAGGGCGAAGAACACTAAGCTCTGAAGTCTGCACTGTCGGCAGAGAATGAGGTTATATTTCCCAAGGTCCAAGCTCAATATTCAATTGCAAAGCTCTCCTCTCCATCAAGGCAAACACACATTGACCCAGACCAATCCAATTATGTAATCTCGCATAAGGGACAATCACATGACTTGTACATTCCCGGCATTATAACTTGCTTGGTTGCATCATCCTCCTAAAGTGGCGCACCATTAAGGAGTAAAGAGTGCTAGATCCAGTAGAAATCAGGGCCCCATTTGTTAGCCAAAATTTCCGCACTAACGACAAACTAAATATCATCTAGCTAGTAAGACCAACAGCCATTTTTAATAATTACCCAGGTTGTGCAAAGGTTGGGACTGGAAAATAATCTGCAGATTCCGATTCATCCTAAAAATTACAGACTCGCTTCCAATCAAACATACTTGGAATAACAGAAAACATCCAGTGCCTCTTAATGGGCCATGTATAACCTCATTCTCGCAAAAGATTGCACTTCCACTAAGAAAATCAATAACTATGAACCATATATTCAAACAGATTGTAGCATTATTAATGAGTACAGATAGTAATGCTTATTGAAGGCATATATTAATGACGATATTTTTTAGAATTTTCGGGGCTCCTTTGGCTATAACCATTAACTAAGGAGAAAGGGTCCCAAATAGCAACCAAACACGAGTTCCTACAATATAGAAACTAATGTGTAACCTATTATTTTAGTGGGCACAGAGGTGTTTACTAAAGAATAATTCTCAGAAAAGAGTAGGCATATAGAGTCCATAGATCATACTAGACTACTAGCCACAAGGAAGGCTAGCCAAACCAAGCTGATGCTACATAAAGCTCAACATTCTTCTGTGTCCAAGTACCCATGATAACTGGCAGACCTATGCCAAATCTACAAAATAAGACATGCTTCTAAATATCCAATTACCTGAATATCTACTGAGGAGGAAATGCTAGGAGACAAATCTGACAAATCAGACATGCGACGCTCCTCTGGTTCTGCCTCATTTGCAGGAGGGATTTTGTACTTGAACATGTCATCACCACCAGATGCTTTCACAACCGAAATAGCCTGAGAAAAAAAAAAAAAAAAAAAAGGCATTTCATGGCCAACCAAACTTAGGTCTTATAATGATGTCGAAATCACAACCTATAGTCAATAACATCTGTAATTCCGAAATGCCATCCCAAGAAAAAGAAACTGGCTGTAAAATAATTCTTACAACAGAGTCACTTGATGGAGGCTTATGTTGCTCGCACAGCTGACAACCACATCCAAAAGATAAATTTTCATCAGAGGAAGCTTCACGGAATGGCAATTCCAGTTTCTTGGTTAAAGATAAGCCAGTGACACATTCTGGCTGATCTTTGAAATAGTTCATCTGTTCACATAGTTTGTCTAGCTTCTGTTGCATGCTCAAAAGCACTTGATCCTGGAGATTGAATAAAAACAAATGTTAACAGGCTTGACAGCTTATTGAGGCATATGAATATTTACTAGAGATTTCAATAACTGAAGGGCAAAATTCTAAAGTTGAGATAATGCATTTAAGAAAAAATCACAAATTACGATGTCTTACAATAAACTAGACAATTGACAATGCCAAAAAGGATCCCCATATAATGAAAAAGAAAAAAAAGAACTTAAGAAACTCAAAATGGCATCTTGCTAAGCAAAACCTACCATTCCCAGGGTATTAATTAAAAATTAAAAAGAAAAGGGGCCCCAAGGCATAAGGCTCTCACTATTGCAGATCTGGGAGGGTTTTCCTCGAATGCGAAGAGTCTATTTCCATGACTTAAACCCTTGACGTGATCACTTATTTTTTGATAGTGTTACTCAATGCAGAAGTTGAAAATCTTGAGCGTAATAACATCTAATAAGTGCATACTCATTTGTATTAAACAAACCCAGAAATTAGAACCATTAAACACCCGAAACTCTAACGCATATAAATACATTGAATTAAATCCACAATAAACAGATACTAAATCCAAAACTAATTAATATTACAAGCCCTACTCACATAAAGCTGACAATAATTGCTAACCGCAAAAACATTTACAGAACCCGTCAATAAATACAAATGACATTAAAAAAATTGAAGAATTAAAAAAGAAAGTTTACTAACCCTAAGTTCAACAGATTTTTTGAGCTGACAAATCTGTTTATTTTTCTTCGAATTGGCGGCGGCGACGGCAACGACAGCAACTATAAGAATCCGATGAATGGGGCTGAAAAGCTCCCAAGCCACGGCTTCTTCGGGCCTCAAATTACCACCTATAGTCTTAGCCGAGCTGGCTTCTTCGGCACCGACGAGTCGACCCTGAAGAGAGACCCAAGCCAGCTGTCTTGAAGCTCTTATTGGTCGTCTTGGTTCTGTGAAACAACTCGAGAGCCGGCGCGTGGAGTGCGCGATGGAAGGCGAGAATGGAGAGAGCGTGACCAGAGCCGGCGACTGAGCAGCTAAAGCGGAGTCGAAGCCACATTCTTCGTCGTCTTCCATGGGGAGAGAGAGAGAGTGCGTGATTGAAGCTACTGTATTTTGAGTGTATTTTTACGGTGTAAAAGTGTGTATTTTCGAAATTTAATTTTGGGAGGGAAAGTGAAGAGAATATAGAAGGTGAACGTTTTTGGGAGATAGTGGAATTCTGGCACGTGTACTCTGCATGGGCAAAAATGGCTTTTGGATTTTTGCTAGCCGTTGGGTTTTTAAAATTTGAAAGTAAAACAAGATTTAAATTAAGTAGAAGTAGGACTATTTGGTAAAGATCACAGGAATATTTATGAGAGCGTTTTTAACTATGATTTAAATTTTTACTTAAATTTAAATTAATATCTGAGTAAAAAATTTGATTTTATATAAAGAACTCTAATGGACAAATTCAAATTTAAAAATAAGAGACCCAAATTTAAAAGGGTGTAAAGATGACCATTGAATCTTTAAAAGATTGTGAAATCTCACTATTAAAGATTTGAGTCTTCCATGATTTGAGTAAAAAAATGAGTTTTTTTAATTTAATATAAGTTTGAGTTAAAAGTTGGAGCAAATTTTTTAAATTTTTTTACTCAAATTTAAATTTGAGTGTAAATTTGAATAAAGTTTGAAGATGCCCTTACCCAAAACTTTCCAAAACAATTTATTTTGACCAACTCTGCTTGTGTCCAACTTGAAAGTTTTGGTTAGACAGTTTTGATAGTTGGTTGAACTTACGCAAAAAATTTCTATTCGATTTAAATTCTAACAATGCTCTGGTTGGATCAGAGGTTTTCATTTACACTAAGCCCAACTCAAACTATACACTCAACAAAACTGTAACGTGTATTCAACTTGAAATTGAATCTGAATTTAGTTTGACGTGTGTTATGCAAGATTTTTTTTTGCAAGTTTATAATGAGAGACTTAAACCCAAACTAAACCCAAGTAAACTCGAATCTCAGTTCAAATTTTGTAACACGTAATTAAATTTAAATTGAACTCGATTTTAAACTAAATTTAAAATTTTCAACAAATAACAATGATTGGTTTCAATGATTCTGAGTTAAATAGGGTTCAATTTGACAATTTTAAAACATGGCTTGAGCCCAAGTTATTCTCTAAAACCTGCTCAACCGACAACCAGTGTCACCTCTCTTGGGAAAATTTGTCAAGCAAACCTGTTTTTGTATCCAATTTCTCAATTCACTTAACATAATTTCACAAACCATGGCATTTTAATGATGATGAGGCATCTAATGAAAAATGTGAAAAATTAATAGCCCGGATGACTAAGGCTTCACCTATCAATAGAAGTGTAAGGTTCAAACATCGCCATAGATGAAGTGTGTATGGGGGGGGGGGGGGGGGGGGGGGGCGCTGAACTAGTCTCTATTAAATTAAAGACCAAAATTTTATTTCTTAGGTGGTGTTTGAAAAAACTGAAAATTAAGTGTTACAAGTTGAATGCATGTTGAATGTTGAATTTTTTTTAATCTACGAACTATTTGGTATCTATTAAATTGAAGCATTGAATTGTATAATATTGCTTGATTAGTTGAAGCTTGAAATTTATTAATTTCTAATTTTTCTTTTCCCCCTCTCACCACACCACCAATGTCTTTCCTCACTGTCATAATAACCAACACTTCACTATTGTCGTCACCACCCTCCACCATCATCTCGTCACCCCCTTCCCCTTGATTCATTGTCTTTTACCACCAAATTCTATCACCACCATTGTCACCATCACCCAGGGCCACTAACTTTACCATAACCATCATTTTTTCCCACCACCACATCCATCATAACATTACAATTGCCACCATTACTATCACCATCGTTATTGTTGCCACTATCATCCCTCCACCACTATCACTTCTAGTGTGGATGTCACAAAGAGAGTATTGGTCAAACTTGTTAAAGTATTCATAATAAGAGTAGTTTAGGCATTTTTTTTATGTTGTGTTGCTCTACTATATAAAGGTTACTTTGTGTATTTCTAGGTTGAGTTGTGAATTACAATGAATAATTTATTCTCTTTTTCTCTTCTCTATTCTCATTGATCAATTCTAACATGGTATCAAAGCATGTTATGATCCCTAAACCCAAATAATATACATGATTGAAGTCTAGAAAAAGACCACCGACGATAACCAACCATTTGGGATGAGATTTGGTTGGTCTGAACGTGTTCGGTGCTCTATTCGGTGTACCGACTGCCTCCTCTTCTCTGCTTCCTTGGCTTGACTGGTTCCAAGTGCACTGACTAAACTTGTTCGGTGTACCAACTGCCTCCTCTCCTCTGTTCCTTGGCTTGACTGGTTCCAAGTGCACCAACTGTCTTTTCTCCGCTGTTTTCTCGACTTGACTGGTTCCAAGTGCATGTGCACCGACTGGCTTAGTCTCTTATGGTCTCTTGGCTTGACAATGCCTTCACAGTGCACCGATTGGTTTGTGATTGATACTCTCTAGTTGTTTATTGATTTAATTTGCTGGATTGTGCCTGGGTTGTTGGATTGTTGCTATTTTCTTGTTGTGGCTTCGGCGTTCTGGACTGGTAGTGCTACGGCAGTTTGATTTGGTTGGCCTATTTTGGCACTCTGGGTTTTTTGCTTGTTTCGGTAGTTGGTTTTTTGCTCTGCTGGGTTTTTTGCTTATTTGGTGTTATTGCTTCTTTGGGCTACTGAGTTTGAATTTAACTGTGTTGCATATTGATAATTGTTACTACAATGGCAAGTGATCACTCTGATTCACTTCAAGCCATTAGTGTGAGACTAATTAGTGGAAATTATGTTTATTGGGTTTATATTATGAAAAAAAATTTGTTGGGGAAAGACATGTGAAATTATATTAGTGGTGTTGTACAGCCTCCAACTGATGCTAAGGCAAAAAATTATGCTGATTTGAAGAGTACTTGAGATATCAATAATGCGAAAATTATCACCTGAATTAATAACTCAGTTGATCAGACCATTGAGGTTCATCTATCAAAGTATACAACTGCTAAAGAAATTTAGGATTATTTGGCTACACTTTGTTCAGTCTAATTTTGTAAAGAGGTATCAACTAGAGCATGAGATTCGAGATGCGCAACAAGAGGACAAAATCATCCAAGAATTCTACTCTGTTATGACTGGCTTCTAGGATCAGTAAGCACTTATTGAACCCACTGAGTTGAGCACTAATCTGGCATATCGCACCTTCAGAGAGGAATAAAGGCTGGTGCAACTCTTGATGGCCCTTAGGGATGACTTCGAGGGACTTCGTGGTTCCATTCTTCATCATCACTCACTCCCCTTAGTGGATGATGTTGTTAATGAGATCTTAGCTGAAGAGGTTCGCCTTAAAAACCTTTCTGGAAAGGGTCTTCTTCCACTACCAAATCAGACTGTCTTGACTGTTCTTTTCAAAGTGGCCTCTAATTCCCAAAATAAATATCAAGGTTGAGTTGTTTCTGATGAGTGTAACTTCTGTCGTGAAAAGGGCCACTAGAAGGCCCAATATCCAAAGTTAATGAACAAGAATACACGAGGATCTCAAAATCAGTCATTTAGGTCTAGAGATTGTCATACAACGGCCGTAGCGCCACCAGTGGATGATTCAGCTTCATCAGCTCCCAACCTGACTATGCTTGCAGATCAGCTACAAAAGTTTCTCTCTCTTCATTAGCCTGGTGCTCTCACAGTTTCTCCCATTATAGGTTCATTCAGCTCAGGTCCTTTAGGTATTTCTCAAACTGCCTGGGTCTTTGACTCAGGTGTAACACATCATATGACCAGTGACTCCTCTTTGTTTGCATTTATTGTTTCTCTTCCCTCTTTATCTGTGCTTGTTGCCAATGGTTCTCACATGGCATTAGCTGGTGTTGGGACAATTATTTCTTCCCACATTACACTTTTCGATGTTTATTATATTCCTCAACTTACTTTGAATTTACTTTCAGTCAGTCAACTATTTAATTCTAGATTTTTGGTTCATTTCTCTTCCTCTGGTTGTGTTGTGCAGGATCCACGGTCCAAGAAGCAAATTGGGACTGGTTGTAGACAGGGCAGGTAATATGTGTTGGAGGAGCTGCATGTCCCAGTTGCTGATGCTACTGCTTCTACTTTGATTTATCTTCTTTTCGTTTGAGTCCAAAGTCATCTAATTTTTATTTATAACATTCTCGTATTGGTCATGTTTCTTATTCTCGTTTAAAATTTTTAGTTTCGACTGATAGTTTGGGTAGTTTAGAAAGCCATGACATTTCTGATTGTAGTGGATGCAAGTTGGCTAAATTTAATGCATTGTCATTCAATAAAAGGTTACTTTTTCTCTTACACCATTTGATCTTGTTCACTCTGATATATGGGGATCGACTCCTATTCCTACACAAGGAGGGTCCAAATATTATGTTTCATTTATTGATGATTACATGAGGTACTGTTAGGTATTCTTGATGAAACGTCAGTCTAAATTTTTTTCTATCTTTACTACCTTTCGTAACATGGTACGCACTCAATATTCCGCAGTCATTAAATATTTTTGATGTGATCAGGGCGGTGAATATACTCTTACTTCTTTTCATGATCTGTTGAAATCTGATGGTACACGTTATCAATCTTCTTGCATTGACACACCTGAGCAGAATGGTGTTGCCGAACGAAAACACCGTCATATTCTAGAGACAACACGTTCCCTTCTTTTATCAGCACATGTTCTCAGCTCATTTTGGGGGAAACAGTTTTGACAGCAGTTCATTTGATCAACATCATTCCTACTATGCTTACCTCTGGAGTCTCTCCATTTGAAAAGTTATGTGGTAAGTCACCTAACTATTTTTCTTTACGTGTGTTTGGTTGTACTTGTTTTGTTTTACTCCCTAGTGTTCTTCATACCAAACTTTTTATTTGTTTAGCTTTATGTGTATTTCTTGGTTATGGTGAGGGTCAAAAAGGGTATCGTTGCTATGATCCCATCACCCGCAAACTTTATGTCTCTCGTCATGTTGTTTTTATGGAGCATATTTCCTTCTTCTCAATTTCATCTAGCTCTTCCTCATTGAATAAGTCTGACCTGCTATACATTGA